TCCTAAAATGAGAAGATTTAAAAACCTGCAAGTTGTACAAGGCCACCTTTCACCCTGCAGATAGCTGGAGAGGCTGGTCTGCATGGAAAGAAAAAAGCAGCAGCGACACAGAACGAGAAGCACTGACAACAGTTGGAGAGAGACTGCCTTGGCTCTTGATGGCTCTTATTTCTTGATTCCAGTCCCTCTGACGCCTTGGATACCAAATATTACTAATTTTCTTTTTAAATTTACTTGGGCTTGATTTGGTTTCTTTCTTGCAACCGGATTCTCCCTAATACAAAGGATAGACAACCTTGCAAAGAGAATATTGCAAAGAGAAAATGATCTCGTCATGTGTTAAAATGAGATTTAACAAAGAAACGTAAAAAACAAAAAGCAAATAACTCTATAAAATCATAAAAGTATCTTAAAAGTTAATCTGTCAATAAGCTGTTGAGAACTCAGAATGCATTTCCTAGGGAAACTGTTATAAATGGTAAGCTGTATCCTGGCTCACGGTCTAGTTCATCTACAATGTTATGAAACATACCTCAAATCATTCTATTCTCTTCAGCTCACTCATCTTCATATTCCCTTGCTTAAAAGATCCTAATAATAATAATAATAATAGCAATAATAGTAATAACAATAATAATTCTTTAAAAATCTCAATAGCTTCCCATGATGCTCAAAAGAAAATCCAAACTCCTTATTTGGCCTACAAGCCCCTGCATGATGTAGCTCCTGCTTCTCTGTCTAACTCTTCCCATCTATCACTAAACTCTAGTCACTTTGGCCTACAAGCCAAACTCATCTCAGGCTCAGTGCCTTTTTGCTTGCTGTCTCCTCTGCCCGATCCCTCGTTCGTTAGCTCCTCCTATGCTCCTTTCTTCTCATCCTTCAGATCTCAGCTTAAATAGCTCTTCTTCAAAGACCATTCTGCGCAAAGTAGGTACCTCTCCATTACTCTCCATCACTGCACCATGCTTATTTCCTTCACGGCCATAGCACCATTCAAGGCTATCTAGTGCATCTGTCCACTTGGAGATCTCCTTTCCCCAGTAGTATGTTAATTCATAAGAGCAGAGACCTTAATTGTCTCATTCTCCATTAACTGTCTTATTTCCATTGTATCTGCAAGAACTAAAGCAGGGCCTGACAAACAGCAGTTCAATATTTGATGAAATTATGAATGAAATACTTTATAACTGCAACCAAAAGTTAGAGAAAACAAAACCACTGCAATACTTATCAGTAAAGGAAACAGAAAACTAAAGTTGAATCAACATTTTAAATAAGGCACTACTAGTGGTCACAGCCCAAACCCGCCTACTTCATATGAGCTGAGCACTGCACTGAAAACTTTCCCCTCAATTTGTTTTGGGGTTTCTTCACAACCCTGCGGGAAAGTACTACTATTAACCTCACACTAGAGATGAGAAGGAAATTCAAAGACACTCAAGGCCACACAGCTAGACAGTGTAGAACTGGGCCTAACAGCCCCCTAGAAAGAGGGAGTACGGAAGGTCTTATTTTTTTTGGTATGTCTGAAGATGTCTTTATTTTCCCTTCACATTTGATTGTTACTACATGGCTCAGTAGAGAATTCTAGGTTGTAAATCACATTCCCTTAGAATTACCGCAACACTGTCATTTAGCCAATAGGGTTGCTGAGGGAGTCTGCTGCCATTAGGACTCATTCTGCAAGTGACTTCGTTGAAATCTACTCTTTATTCCTAGTGTTCAAATTTGTCACAGGAACATACTTAGTGCGGGTCTTTTTTTATTCCTTGCCTTGGCTATTTGGCAAACCCTTTCAATCTGGAAACTCGTGTCCTGTAGTTCTGAGACATTTTCTTGTATTACTTC